GTAAATATAACCCAACTTTGCTCTAATTAAAGATTTACTTTGAGATAAAGATAATTCTGTTTAAATCAATGATTTTAGTTAAATGTAATACTGTTTTGGGGGCAGGAGGCAGCACATGATATACATTAAAACTCAAATGTATGAAATCAAAGGGACAGATTTGACTCAGCCTACATTTGTTTTATGAGCCACCCAACAAAAAGGAATACACAAAGAGTGTTTTAAGTGATCATTTTCTTGTCTTTGACTGACACTGTTAATTTGTTGTTGTTTTCATATTAATGATTTTTTCCCTGTTCTTTGTTGTTGTTCTTGGTCTTGATCTCATTCTTTCATTTCATTGATTTCTCAGGCATACTGTAGCAAAATATTACGAGCTTAACTTGTTTTTTTCCAAAGGGAAAAAAATCTAAAGACAGAAAAGCAGAATTAATTTGCCTTTTCCAGATGAACATTGTAGGTCATCCACCAGGGTTAAAAGGACAAATGTTGATCCAAGTATTGATAGTCTAAATGGAGAGAAACTGCTTTGATTCCTGAGAAGCGCTCTGTGTTTGCACTGGCATAAATACTTCTAGAGTCCAAGCATAAATTGCAGAATTACCAAGGAAGTTTGTTCTGTGGGAATTTTCAGTACTCACAATAAAAGGGTAACAATATTAACAATGACTCATATTAAATAAAAATTACAGGAATTATAAACACACACACGTGTGTTGTTGAGTCTCCGAGAGGAGGAAGTACGATGAAGCATCCTGGAGACGACAGGACAGCCCTGAAGTAGAGTCTTGTTGAAAGTATTTGAGAAGTCTTGTAGGAGTTTAAGAAGTTCAGAAAAATGCACTTTTTTTCAAATAGTCTTTTTGTTTATTTCAGTTCGTGATAGATTTTCTGACTGACTTGATTATATAAACAGCTTAGATATGAGCTTGATTTTTTGTTTTGTTTTGTTTCTTTGTTTATTTCTCCTTTTTTTTTTTTTCTATCCAGGCTTCAGAAAGACCCCATTGTATGGTCTGAACTTTGGATATGCAAGCATCAATTTTAAATGTACTAGCAAAGATATATTCTAACATTTGTTTCTATTTGTCTTCACAACTCCTTTGTAGTACATTTTATGCATTTGGACTGAAATTTGGATCACTGGTCGGAACAAAAACACCTAGTATTCCAAGCACCTGTGCTAAATAGTATTAATAAATTATGGGAAAAAAGTTACCCTGAATATTCTATTTGCTTAATCACAATATTTTAGATTATATTTATTTCTACTTCTTTTTTTTTGTACTTTACGTTTCTTTTTTCTATTTGTTTATTTATTTGTTTTTGTTTCCAGGACTTTTTGATTGATGTGATCATTGGAATATGAGTTCTTTGTTCTTGATGTATCATCTGAGCTTTATATCTTCTCTGAAATCTTTTAAGGGAATGAAATATACTAGCTTGTACAATATAAGCATCAATTTCAGTAACTTTCCAAATATATATCCTTACATTTTGTTATGAACATAATGATTTACATTATGATTTTTTTTTCTCATTGTTCTTAGGATAGGCTTAATTTGAACAGAACTACTGATTTTGCCATGGAAGAGATTTTTCTCCTCTTCTTGTAAAGTTGTTTAGCTCTGCAAGAGTCGGAGATGACATGATTTGCAGTTTGCAGGACATGTTTATGTCACAGAATTTGAACAGATCCAGGACTAGTAGCAAAGACTGACAGGTTCACAAGAGAGATCACAGTAAGGAAGGCTTTCAATAAAAGATCTGTGAATATCAAGAAGCTTTCCTTGGGATACTCTTAATTTCTGGTCAAGCTTATAGGATTAAAAATAGTGTCTAAAGAATATGTAATTAAAAGAATGTTTGAAATAATTTAATGAAATGTTTTAAAGAAAAGCAAAATGTGTGTGTGTGTGTGTTTTCTTGGGGTTATTTGTATTATTGGGGAACTAAAATACAAGAATTCAGCAATGCAGGTGCCCCACAGCATGAAGTCCTGGGTGACATGCACCTCCTATATGCCTTGAAGGGCTGATTCTACCTCTAATTCTTTTCTCCACTTTGTGCCTTAGTAGAATTAAGATGCAACTGTTTAATTCCTCACGGAGTTTGTCCACACTTGAGTGCAGAGATTGCAAACCTTGAGTGCTTCTGCCATGTGCAGCAAGTTGCACTGAGGGCATGCCCATGCCTGCATTTTCACTTGGGTCAGGAGGATACCTTTAAGGCAAATGTCCCACTCATTCTCCTTTGCTGCCTTTTGGTTTCCGTGACGGGAACCATCTGGAAACGTATAAACTGGATACTTTTCCAGAGAACATAAAGGGGAAAAAGTGCCCAGAAAGGCATCCGATGAACATAGTGGTGCCATGTTGTGGGCCTGCTTTTAGTGTCAGGATGGTGGAAAAATATGAAGTAAGCATGAAAAGTAACAGCTTGTGCAGGAAGGGAAGGGAACTTGCAAGAGTAGAATAGATCTGATCCTCCTTTGTGAAATAGTGCTCTCCCTATCTTATTTATTTTCCTGTTTGCTACTAGAATAAAAAAGGATTATAGGGCAATGTTCAATTCGGATTTTAGATAGCCACAGAACTGATAACAAGTTCTCAGGAAAAGCCTAAATACCTGATTTTCCCTTTAAATTGTTTCATTTTTTTTTATTCCTGTGAACATTTCATGTGCTTTTGGTTTTTCAGCAGTGAGGACAATACTATACCTATGGGCATGGATGAGGATTTTTTTTCTTTACAAAATAAAGTTTCTTTCTTAGAGACCTTAGAAAAGCACTCTGTGATCCTTTGGAAAACATAACACTAGGAATATCTCATTATTGATAGAATCTTTGTTATTAGTATAGGGAATTAATACCTTGCTTATTTTTATTTCTTAAGCATTTTCATTTAAAAGCCTCCAGTAGCTACTGGGAAAGCTAGATTGTTGCCTTTGAACTGGGAAAATTCATGTTATGTTTTGAGATGTTCATAAATAAATTTAATGCATTTCTGGGAAGAAAAAAAATAGCTGAAAACATTGTTCTAGACATCATGATAAACAATTTCTGATAGAAGGCTCATTCCTGAAGATCAACTAGCTTAATGGATTTTAGCCTTTTGTGACCACTAGAAAGTTTTCTTACCTTTTCCCCCGTTTGAAATCTCAAGGTGGCCAAAAAAGAGGCAAGGAAAGGAATTCATTGTCTGGCAAAATGGAAAAACAAATCATTTGCTGAAATGGTATCAGTGTGCTTGATTGATTGAAGCATCAGGGGGAGAGCTGCAGGTGATCAGCGTTTCCTTCGCCAACAGATGCTACTGAGCTAATAGGGACTGCTAGTGAGACAGACTAGCAGAGGCATGGGGCTTTTCTGCCAGCTGGAAAAAACATCAGAATGACAGAGAGACAAAAATGCAGATGTTTAACTTGTATATAGTTATGCAATAATTATTTGTGTCCTCTTCAGAGCAGATGGAAAATACATTTGTAAAATACTTGCATTTGACGTAGCTCAAACTATGCTTAGGGTGGTTTATCCTGAAGGATAGCCTGAAGGAGCCAGTGCTGAAGGATCAGGAAACTGAAGAGATTTTTGAGGTATATTTTCCATAAGCAGGATATAGGAACTGACACACTACACTGCTCAGTGACCTGCTTCGTGTCATGTTCTATCTTGGAGAATAAGTAGAGTTTGGGAGGTAAAAGGAACACTTATACTAGACAGTTAGCAAATCCTTTGCCAATGTGGAATGCTTCTTCCTAAATCATATTAAGAGGTACTTGATTTTCCATGTTCAGGGTTCAAGAAAATATATTCATATATCCTGATTAGTATAACTTATTCATAACTTATTATTTATGATAAGCAAAAATTTAAACATCAGTGGAGAGATTTGCTGTTTATATACCACTTTCATGTACAGTTCTGGGGCTGTGTTAATGGAGAGTGACTGACAAAGGCAATTAAGTTCACTCTTGCATAGCAGACAAGGATTTTGTGTATTCTGTGCGGAACTGAGAAAAACTGTGCATCTATTATACTGCAAGAGTTTCTCTGCAGCTGCTATATGTGACATTGTAGTTTCAACTGTAATTATTTTAATTCTTTTTTAAAAAAATCATTTGGAACAAGCTTTCATGTATCAAGTTTTCTATATTGGCATTTTCTTGTAAGCAGCTTCTATATGATACTCTCTACCTACTTTAGTAGTCACAAGGAAATCGGTATAGAAAGCTCTCTGCTCTGATGCAGTCAGGGTAGTGCTGAACAACATTTCCAACTCATGGACCCGCTGGTCATAAAGATAAGACAATTTAAAACATCCTTTAGGATATAGCTTTTATCCTTGCTGCACACACCTACCTTAGTTTGTGGAGAGAGAAAGAAACAAAACTACCTACCAAAATAATTTTTAATGTCTTTTACTCTGAATCTTTGATATAGTAGTATGCTATACTGAGAAGAACAGTTTTCTAAAAGACCAAATGAAAAGTAGAGCTGGAAAGTATATTTTATGGTGTATAGAAGTTGGGAGAATGATAAGATGGGTGCCTGTGAAACACAAGAGAGCAACTGCAGGGTAGTTTGACTTCTCAATTATTATTTCTGAAGGGTTTGTTTCTGGTATACTAGACAGGTGTACTATCTGGTGTATATACTGTACTATACTGGTGTAGTATCTTCACTGTGAAGAACTTTTATGTACAGATACACAAATAAATATGTCAAAACCCTTCATTAAGACAGAATTACTTTTGGCCTAATAGACATAGTGAACTGCATGTGTTTGGTTTAAATTAAAAATAATCTATCTATTTTAACGTGTTTTTAATTTTGTTGAATTTGACTTTTTTAAGGACTAATTGAATTCTTTGTAATTAATTAACTTTTCCTACTTTGCATGTCCTTTCAGTCTCATTCTTTAAAGACGTCATCCTTCTCCCCTAGATAAGCAAGCCTCAGCCTTTGTGATCTTCCGGTATCTTCCTTTTCCTCTGTTTTGCAGTGCTGTCTTTATTGTTGATAATGGTTGCTTACAGAGGAGTGTTTTCACTGATTTGTGCATATCGTTTTTCGTTGTTGTTGTTTTTCCTGTTTCATCTTCCCCATATCAGTGGTCATACAGAGTTTTTAATTCTAGACTAAGTAATTCATATGGTTGCTTCCAGTGTGCATCAATTATGCTTGGCAATGCTAGACTCCATCTGCTATTGTTTCCCCTTTCACTTAACTCTCTTAAGCTTCCCAAGAGCTCCTTGGCCTGCTATGGCCTTGATTAATCCAAGGCTTGTCATGTCACTTGTAACATTTCCATCTTATTGTTAGTCCCCGCTTCCCCATGATTAATAGATAGATTAGACACTCTCATTCCCAGCAAAGAACCTGGGGCATCCTGCTGTTGAGCTTTAGCTACTGAGCAAGGACCTCTTGTTTCAGTCTTTGTATTCTACTTTTTGTAGTTAGCTCTAATCAGTGGCAATCCTTTACTTCTTCCTCTATGATTACATAGTTTCTTTAACACCCTCTTGTCGGGTACATTCTCATAGGCTTTTCCAAAGTCCAGAGCAGTTGTACAAGCCAGGTCTGATTATTTACTACTTATTATCATGCTTATTAACATTTAATAATTTCATGAGAAACTCAAGGGGTAATTTCTGTCTTTCTTCTTATTTTAATCAAAATATTTAATAATTTTATTTTAAATTGACACCTCATATATTTAATAGCACGGCAATACGTCTGGCGGCAGCTGTAAAGAGTTCTTTCTGAGATTTCCCCTAGTACTTTGATAAGAGAACTGTTCTGTTGTATGATTCAGTACACAAATGACTTTAAAGCGAGACTGCATAATTAGGGGTTTTCTAAATCTTAAATTGCTTTGGGACACTTATATAAACATCACTCCATCTTTGGCACTGATCTTTTATTGATTGGTTTGTTTCAGTAGTTCTTCTTATAATATCTGAATCTTTGAGCCTACTTCATCTTTATTGCTTGAAAAGGTTAGTACCTCCCCAACATCTTTTGAGATTTTAAAAAAATCTAAAAAACAATGTGCTTTCTTTGCTATAATCCTACCTTTTCTAGTTTCTACTTTAACTTCTTGTTAGTGTAAACATGGTATCTCTTGCAAGAATCATATTTTTTTACATCTATTTACTCATGATATATTTGTAGCCATTCTCCTTTCCTGTTAGCATGAGTCTGTCACCATTTATGCTCTTGAAGACCACAAAATTCCTTTGCCAGGTAAACCAACAATTCCACATCTAGCTTACATATTACAGTTCCAGAAGTAACCATATTTCTTGTTCAAACAGATCTGAGAGAGTTGAAAGCTGAAAAATGTTTTTATTGTTTGTTTTCTTTACACTGACCAAGGTAGATCATACTTAGTTTATCTTCGTTTAGATGAACTGCAACTTAGTGGCGAGATGCAATAAAAGACAAGTGCATTATTTTATGGAATTTGGCTTCAAAGAGCAGCTTTCAAGAGCAGACTGCAATATCTGCCCCTGTCACAGAACAACGGGTGGTGGGGGTGAGTGACACAATGAACTTCACTCATGGGAAAGAAATAGGAATACGTTTTATTGACAATGATAATGGTTTCACAAGATTCTATGGCAAG